TGATTGCTGCTTGATTCAAAAGAGACAATTAAAAAGCCAAAAAAAAAAAAAGACCAGTTGTCTTTTTTTTTTTTTTTGGCTTTTTAATTGTCTCTTTTGAATAACTTGTACATGTTTATCTTTATGTTCCTGTTGATGGCCAATTTGTCTGAATGCCAGGCTAGTCTTCTCTTTGTCCTACATAGTAGCTGCTACAGTCCTTTCACTGCATTTGTAGATGACTCCTGCTTTTTCTTCTGGGGCTGCTGGGTCCTTTGGTTTACTGAAGTTGTTTTGGAGGACTTAAGTTGGTTTTTGTGCTATGGTGATGCCATGTGGTTGTAATAGTCTGTGGGTGGTTTCTGACAAGTTTCTGATGTATGACAAAGTTATCCTTTTCACAGCTTGTGTGGGTTGTGCTATGGTTAATTGAGTGGTCAGGCATTCTTTGATAAAGTTGTGTGTTTATCCATTTTGTTGGAAGATGTTGTAAAGATGATCTGTTTCCTTTTTTCTGAGATTCATAAGTGCTACAGTGTGTTTGTGCCAATCTAAATCATGTTCATATGCAGCTTCTCTTTTTGGAGGTTGAGTTGTTACTTTGATAGTGGAGCACCTGGTGGATGTGGGTACTTTTACAATAGTTTCATAATTAATTTTTTTACAGTTTTGTTATTTGCCATCTGCTGATGAGGATATCCAGGACTGGTAATGTGTGGTTGTTTTCCTCAACCCTTATGAATTTTATTCCTTTGAAGTTGTTGTTGATAGTTTTGTGGATTTTTTCTAGTTGGCAAACTTTATAAGTCCATATATTCATGTCGTAATATCAGGAAATATCAGAACATCAGGAAAGAAGTAGCACTGATGATTTATACCCATTAAATATATTTTGAATTTCAAATAATGTGAGACCTTTTTGAATAGAAAATTATAAAAATAATGTTTGGTATAAATGAACTTTACAACTTGTTTATACTGCCCGATTCTAATAATGTATAAAGGAAAACAAATAGGATTTGAAACAAGAATAAAACATTGTTTGAAGAAGAGTTGTTTTAATTATGAGTATCTGATCAAGCAAAGACAAATATTAAGTTGTATTGTAAACTTTTACAAGAAAGAATTGTTATTGTATTTTTTAATTAATGTCATTCTTTATGATAATTACTACTAAATGTCTGAGTTAATATAAAATACAGAAAATTCTTAAGGGCATTTCATTATTCTTTATTAATGATGATTAACACTGCAGACAATTCATCAGATTCCTGGTCCTTCTATTCTATGAAATGTATACAGTTCAAATTGTAACTGCTATATATCTGTCAGGATATTAAAAAAAAAGAAGCACATAATTTACAAATGATTTTATCACGGTATGTTTTGTTTTTATATTAAGATTTTGAATAATCTTATTAACCCCAAAATTTTGTACTAATATGTTTATAATGAGAATAAACAAAATGAGAAAAACAGTGTCCATGTATCTGAAAATTGTCTGCATTTCTTCTGTCGCTGTTAATAAATAGTTATGCCAATTGTCTTGGAAAATATAGTGATCTACTAAAACATGAACCATAGCAATCAAAATGCTAAAAAAATATTCTTTGTTAAAATGCCCTATATTGATGATCATTGCTTCCCAGCTAAACTGGCTGAGATCCCTGACAATAATTCATTATAGGATTATATAGGAGATAGAAAATATGTCAGGAATAATTAGTTAAATTACATAGACAAGAAAAGCCCCCAGTGGTCTTTTAATGTGTTTAGCATATTATTTATACTGAGTTCACTTACATTTGGCATAATTATAGACTGTTCAGGGGTCATGTAATTAATCATAAACTTGATTAGCCTATTTGCCACTAAACAGTGGGAATAACATATTTATATTTTCAGATGTAGAAAGTTTCTTTAGACAAATTTAAATTAAATTTGCAATATATGTCATTTAATGGATGCTGAAACAGGACAAAACAAATATTAATACCGAATGCACTTAAATCCAGCATCCTGGATATGAGACAACATTATATTTCAATGTGGTCAGTCCTAAGAAGCCTGAAAGGACTGAAATGAAATAAAATGAAATTGAGTCCTTACCCTGATCAAAGTTCTATAATAAAGAATTATTCCTGCAGTTGTGATAGGCTGATAAGGACAGTGCCCTTAGTGACTGTTTTTGAAAGGTGTAAATTTCTGCCCCCCCCCCAAATCTGAAGATTTCTGATTACAAATCTAGACATGACTGAGTTGCTAAATTAATCCACTGGGCATTGTGTAAAAAATACGACTTGCCTGTGTCCGAAAAGTCTGGGAATATAGAGTGGAAAAAGTTGTTGAGAATGAGAGGGTGAAGATCTAGTGGGACTTTCGAATAAAGACAGATCGCCATTCGGAACACAATATGCCGGATATCACAGTTGTAGAGAACCAAAGTGTACAGCTGATTGATATCGCTATACCAGGAGATGCCAGAGTCGAAGAAAAAGAACTGAAAAAAATTACGAAATATTGCAACCTGGCCACCGAAACTGCGTGATTATGGATGAAACGTGTAACAGTGGTACCATTGTCATCGGGGCACTGAGAACTATGTCCCAAAACTTTGCAAAACACATCAAGAAACTGCAGCTTCCTGCAATAACTCCAGCAATGTTACAAAAAAACTGTGCTACTTGGAACATCTTATATTTTAAGGAGATATCTGGTTGACATCTAGGATGCTGGTAGCAACCCGTGTCAACCATCAGCACCAGCCAATTTGAATGTTCAGTTGATTGAGGTTCATGTTTAATGAATAAAAGATAATAATAATAATAATAATAATAATAATAATAATAATAATAATAATAATAATAATGACAAATTCGCTATTAGTCAATTGCAAAAGGCAGCCTTATTAGGAACTGCTTCCATCCTGCGACGATATCTGTAATACCATCAAACATCCACATCTGCCTATCCCAGGTCCTGGGTAAGGACTCGATAGGTAGACAAAATGCCAAATCCAGTCTGAACATCTGGCTGACTGTGCGATGATCGATAATAATAATAATACTCTGGGACTTCAGAATTCAAACAGACAAGCACTTGCAACATAACACCCCAGACTTAACAATTGTCGATAAGAAAGACAAAAAAGTCTGGATAGTGGACGTGGCAGTGCCTGGAGATAGCAGAATAGAAGAGAAAGAACTGGAGAAGATAACAAAATACAAAGACCTACAAATAGAAATAGAAAGACTGTGGCAAAAGCAAGCAAGGGTAGTACCAATAGTAATAGGCTCCTTGGGTGCAATCCCAAAACAACTGGAGCACCACTTGAACACCATTGGCATTGATAAATTCGCTATTAGTCAATTGCAAAAGGCGGCCTTACTAGGAACTGCTTCCATCCTGCGACGATATCTGTAATACCATCAAACATCCACATCTGCCTATCCCAGGTCCTGGGTAAGGACTCGATAGGTAGACAAAATGCCAAATCCAGTCTGAACATCTGGCTGACTGTGCGATGATCCATAATAATAAACATATAGAGAATATTTTTGATTAGAAAGTAAGATTTAAATTCAATTTATTTATTTCAAAGTAATTTTGTACTTAGCAATATTGTCCATGATCAAAGTCTTTTGTAATAACCAGGAACTTAAGTACTATTTAAGGTTAAAATGAGATGAAGACATTTGAATTATATTGATCTAATCTATTGTGAGATTTATCTATCTAGTCAAAACATTATATAGCTGCCCAAGATGCTTCAGTTTTAATACAAAGTAGTAGATAAATGTTTAAATGAAACAAATGATACTGAGCATGATCATAGGTTATTGTTCCAGTTATAACACTTATATATAATCCAAGTGAAATGAGATCAAGATGCTTCTTCAATAAGTTTTTGATTAAAGATATTTGGATTCAGTTCAACTTATCAAAACATGTGATAATGAAGTTCAAAATATTTATTTTAAGGAGGTAATTCAATCTAATCACAAAATTGAAGCTTTTTACAGCACCATAAAATATTATTCATTGGGTGTTTCTACATATTACCTTTAAAGAGTTTACTAAACAAGAAATAAATAAAATATTAAGCAAATCATATTTCAGTCAAATGAACAACTAATTTATGTAGTATTGAAGAAGTTAATACCTAAGTACAAAAGAATCAAAACAACTATTTTTACAATTGTTTTTACCTGAAACAGGCTAAAATGTCCTAAAATGCTTATTTTAGAAAAGAACAAACTGCAGAACTTCATTTTAAAACTCAGTTCTGAAAATGTTATCCCACATCAAATAGATGGAATACTGTGGATTTTAAAAAAATTTTTAATGGAAATATGAAGTATCACAATCTGTTGCTCAATTACATCTGTGCATCTATACACTAAAAATAATTGAAAAATGCTTAATATCTCTTCATCACATTTTTAAAAAAATGTAGTCAACTTTCACTGCGTTGTTTTTGTCTGGATTTCTTTAGTAAATTCAATATTTAAACATATTTACCAACTCTAAATACAGGTAACTAAGCCATAGGCATAAGTCATACCATTACTCTGTGAGCTCCACTGGCTGCCAGTGTGTGTCCAGATGCAATTTAAAATGCTAGTTGTCGGAATGAGACAACTCACCCCAGCCAATTTGCCATGGGATAATTCAATAATTCAATTTAATTACTTGAAATAATTAAAACATTGTTTTTAATTTTTTTGTCATTCACATTTCATTTTGTCCGTCCTTTGGCAGCCTTTCTTTAATGATTCTATTTCACTATTTTTTCAATATTAGTGTAACTTGTTCCACAGTGAGTTGTCCTGCTGCAAGTTGGCCATAACAAGTTCTCCCACAGTGAGTTGTCTGCGGTGAGTTGGCAGTATTGAGTTGGCTACTGCAAGTTGTCATAGACCCGCTAGTTGTCACCTTCAAAGCACTACATGATGTATGATCAAGTTAGCTGAGGAACTGTCTTTTTTCAAGTGTTTCTACCCATCAATCCTGTCCAACAGGCTGAGCATGCTGCAGATCCCATCAGACAGAGATTGTCAACTTACTGGAAGTAGGACATGGCTTTTACTGCTATAGCCCCTGCCTTATGGAATATTCTCCCCTCGAAGATCAGAATGGTCCCAACCATGGCTACGGCATCTAGGTCTTGGAATGTGTTAAGGAACATGTTACCTGGCTTTACTATTACCTGTTTAATCATCATGGCTGCTGCTGATATTTATTTTATGAATGTTGTTATTGTTTTAGTGTTTTTTTATATTGTTCTGTTTTATATTTTTAGAATTATAAACTTGCCAGAATCACTTGGTTGAGTTGGGAGGCTATGTAAAATGAACAAAGAAACAAATGAACTAACAAATGTTTTGCAAATATTTACTTTGCTGCTGTGATATTGATCTATTCTAAAAGATTTGGTCATATGTTTTTACAGATGCATTATTAAAATAAGAATTGGTTCTTTCCAAATCTGAGAAAAAAGGAATGCCACTTTCCCTTAAAAATTATTTGATGTGTGAAATAAATAACCATATAATATATATGTAAAAGAATCCAACATTTTTAGCATATCCTAGCTACAGAGATGATTGGCCTAAAATGGCAGTCCCCAGACTTAGCAAATCTAAGTAATCTTCTAAAAAAAGATTGCCACAATTGGGCTGGATCACTTAGATATCATTATATAATACTTGGCATTTTAATATTACCCACTTGCTTTTTTAAAAATTGCCTTTAGGATTAATGAGATTATTGAAAGGGTTGCGCTGAAAAGTTGAAAAAGTATGTCAAATGTACTGCATCACTCACACATACATGTTCATACATATAGACAAATTCCTGTAGTAGTGAGTTTTGTTCCCAAATGTATTAGCAAATTTCCAATACAAAGTATCTCAATCTTCATGAAATTATTTGCCAAAACATCTAGAACTATTTCTTTGATAGTCGCCACCAACCCAGATCCTGTGAATATAGAGTATATTAATTCAGATCAACACAATCGTATACTCTGAATTCATTTGTCATTCTATTGTCCATGTATCTAATTTGTAGAAAGATGAAATAAAGAAACTTTTGGTAAGTTCTGTTTAGACATTATGTTCATGTTTGGTACTAACAAGGGAAGAGTCAAAGTGAATTAATACAGCATGATGCTCCAATCTAGGAAGCAGTCAGGTCCATTGTACATGGGGAAATTATTCATGAATGAACAAGCATAAGCTTGTTGTTTCTGTGAAAGCTGGTCAAGGTTGAAATAACTTAAGTGGGCTTTAAAATGAGTATATATGTGTCACCTTTTTATTCATGATTAATTGGTAGTATTGCCCAAGAGAAACCCATTATAATTTCCCCTCCAGTAAAATAGGGGGAAAATAGACCAAAACAAAACAAAAAACCCCAGAGCTTCTTAACATGCTTGTTTTTAATTAAAACATATTTCAATTAAAACAGGAAAACTCTTTCTGCCAGATGGTAATTCTAATTTATTCCAGTGTGATAGATGCAACATGATTCTTTTCTGATTATATTAGGTTTATTAGAAATACATTGTTTTACATTTGTTACAGAAAATGATTTGACAAATTATTCCTTTTAAATGAAAGAAGTATCTGGGTAGCAAGGAAAGAAGAAGGGGTTCTCTATAGTGACCCCCATATCACGTGTATCAGGCATGCATCATCTTCCCACAGCAGATATCAGAAATCTGAGAACTTGGGGTGGAAACTTCTTTGCACTGCAATTATGTACAACTGTTCCCACTCTTTCCTCTTAATGGTGAGTACTGTATTACATTAGCAGCAGCATTAGGAACAGGCTTAATCTTTGCTAAGACAAATTTTTTTCTTTGGATTCTTCTCTTGACTGATTCAATTAATTTAGCTTCTTTAAAGCATCTAGTAACTTCCAGCAATGCAAGCAAATGGTGCTGGTCATCCTTCTAAGTCTTGATCCTTAAACCCAGAGGTGCAGTGGATCAGTAGCTTAATGATGCTGGAGATGGTCTTTGCTCCAGCGGTTTGAGTCCTAGCACTACATGTTGGGGTGAGCTCCTATCACTCACCTCAACTTCTGTTCACCTAACAGTTTGAAAGCATGTTCTATGTGGATAGATAAATAGGTGCCACTTCAGTGGGGAAACACATTGGTGCTCCATTCAGGCAGTTAGATTCCTACTGGCTCTGAACCTTCCTGGCTATGGTGCTCATTTGCAAGATGGCTCCAGGAAGGAAGAGGCCTTGATGCCTTGAAGGAATTTCGTCTGAATCTTCTATTCCATTTAGTCCCCTATATTGGAGGTCCCAAATATCCAGTCTGTGGCCCACTTGGGAACTGAGCTGCAGCCCATTGGGAACCAAACCAGGCAAGTGGCAGAAACCATCCCCACCCACCATGGGTCTGTGGAACTGGAAAGGTTGGGGACTGCTGCTCTATATTATTCATGTGATAGTGGGGTAAGTTGGAGGGTGGGGTGGGGGTATAGATGTAAACTTGTGTATCATCTGCAGATTGATATACTTAGTCCCCAAACACTGCATAACCTCATTTAGTAGTTTCATAAATTAAAAAGAATGAAGGAATAGGCAATAAATTGCTATCTATGATGGATACTCCGTCCATGTGATATATCTATTGAGCCATGGTGGCCCAGTGGTTAGAAACTACTGACTCTTCACTGTCAGTAGTTTGAATTTGATTCTGATCAGCTCAAGATTGACTCAGCCTTCCATCCTTCCAAGGTTGGTAAAATGAAAACCAAGATTGTTGGGGGCAATATGATGACCCTTGTAATGCTATCTAAAAGCATTTTCGGGGCTCTTCCCCACATTTCCAGAGATTTAGAAAGGCTTTTGCCAGTTGTTCCTTAGTCTATAACTTGGAATGTCTTAATTATTATGCTATCAGCTGAGTCAGATCCAACTCAAGTAAAACACTGCCTCAAAGAAGAGAAACTTTTCCACTGAAGAAGCATGGCCAAGGATCCTACATTTGTATAGAATTATTATACTGGTAAAAGAAATTGTAAGATTCTCCTGTTACATAGGAATATTCAAACTTGTTGGCTACAATTTTGCCAATAATTTTATACAGGAACAATTGAACTCTAGCACAGTTTGCAATGCTAGGCTAATCTCTGCATTCAGGTAGCATTTGAAGACATGAGATATAATAGACTTAATTACCCTAAACTGCCAACAATTTTGTAAGTAAGATTGTTAACTACCCCTTTACATACTAGTTTATTTCCTAGTAATAAAGTTTTCTGACTATCACAATTTACATTTCAAAGTAGCAATAAACTATGAATTCTAGTGCAAAACATTAGCATAAAACTATTCAGCATTGTACATTCCATTAAAAGTGCCAGGAAGAAATCCACGACTCTTGCTTTTACCATCTGGCAGCCTCTTCCAAGCCTAAAAATTTGCATAAGTATGTTGTGTTTATGAAATATAAACCCTTTACATTGTATTCCAAATTGATTAGTTATTCAAAATTTAATAAGCCAAGGAACTGTGAAATTGAAAAACTGACTGCTTCTGTGCTTTCCAACCATCTTGGGAAATATTTGCCAAACTATCATTCATGTTAATGTTTGATTTTTGAAAAACACCAAATAAAAGCCATAAATTAAAAACATTGTATAAATGGCTAGATAGACAGACCTTGCTGCTGCTTATGGCGAATTTGACATTTAACCAGACTTTACCAGACTTCTGACTAAGCAGATTACAGAATGGAGATGAAAAAGCTATGAAAATCACAACATAGGCCACTGAGCAGATCTGGCCTCCATCCAGCAGACCATTCACTAATTTGGCATTTTCTAGGCGGACTTGTTGCTGGTCAGCTTTCATAGAGACATTCCAATCAAAAGGACATAAAAGCCCAATGTGTTTTGCTTCTTTAAATTTCCTAACATCTGCACACTGGCACAATTCTGTTGTTCTAATTATTAACATACAGTTACTTAAGTTCATTTTTGAATTATGAGCAGTGAATAAAATCTTGATCCACCCAGTTTTAATCAACTATAGGTAATCCTCAATTTATGATCATAACTGGTACCAGAATTTCCATTGCTAGGCAAAACAATTATTAAGTAGTCATTCCTGTTTTTTTTGTCACGGCTATTAAGCAAATCACTGTAGTTATTAAGTGAATCACATGGTTGTTAAATGAATTCCACTTCTCCTATGGACTTTGCTTGTCAGAAACTGGCTGGAAAGGTCATAAATGGTAATCACATGACTGTGGGAGGTTGCAACAGTCATAAATGCATGCCAGTTGCTAAGCATCCAAATTCTGATTACATCATCAGGATGATGCTATGATGATCATAAGAGTGAAGACTGGTCATAAGTCATTTTTTTCAGTGCCATAACTTCAAACAGTTGCTAAATGAATAATTGTAAGTCAAGGACTACTTTATTGTTGGCATTACTGCATTGGACTGTATGATTTACTTTAGAGATTATCTACAGAATCTGTTATTAGAAATCCAGATTTTTGGTTAGAATACCTTATTTTATAGATCTCCAGATATTACAGTTCCAACATGTTTTTAATCACTTAATAGTGATGAAATCAGAGGTTTCTTTAGTATGAATTATTTAAAGTTCATGTATGCAATAAGGAAGGCAGTCAGTGGCAATGTTATAAACAACCAGAAAAAATACCTTGCAGACCTGAACATAAATAGGTTTAACCCAAGTTACACAAAGCTGTTATGAATTGAGGATAGTGATAGTATTCTTTTTAATTTGTAAATACTGGCCCAAGGAGTAAATTATGAGATACAAGATAAAAATTGAGACAGAATTAATTTGATAATTCCAGGTTTCTCCACAGGTGAATTTGTGGAGAAAAATTCATTTTTTAATTTAATGCTAAGGTTTTATAAACATTGTGGAATATAGTAATATCAAAAAAGTTCCAGGAACAGATTTTCTTGGTTTTATTTGGCCTGACTTTAGACGCTATTAGTAAATGGCCTTTCTCTGTTCAAATTCTTCTCTATTCTCAGCCTGAATAGATATAGAGAAAATAACCATTCTGGGTTCTGAAATATTGTTTTTATACTTAATATGTGTTTGCTGTTTGATCAAAATCCCATCAAACCTGCAGCAGACTAAACATTGAAACAGGGGCCAATATACTGCTGAGAAAATAATAAAAGATAACAGAGAGAGAGATACACACACACACCACACACGACACATAGACAAACAGACACACACAGATATATATATATATGGAGGATTAACAGTGTTTCTTATTTCCATAATGTGAATATAATGTTTTTAATGCATTTAAAAAGAAAAGCATTTTATTTATAAAAGTTTAAGTTATAGAGTAGACATATAATACAAATGGACCATGTCTGAAAGTAACACTATATAGTATATATGCTGACTAGCCTTGACTTATTATTCTGATGTTGAAAACTCTGGGAATTGGCTGATTGAAATGGTTGGCCCAACTCTCAATGTCCTGTCATTTCAGGTAGACAAGGTATATTTTTACAAGTTATATGTTTGCATGAACACTGTTATTCTCTCAAAAAACTGGAACTCGGTTTTACAGA